TGAACCGCGGGCGACGCCTCGCGCCTCCCGCCCCGGCGCGTCGCACGGCCCCGCCGCGGGGTGGGGCGCATGCGCAGTGCGCGCGCGCCGCTGAATGGGCGCCGCCCTACCTCCCCCCCCACCCCCCCTCCACCCGGAAGTGGCGAGCAGGGGCCTGTGGCGGGGCGGCGGTGCTGGTCGCCAGCGCTTCACCCACCGGCTGAGGTAAACGGCGGCGAAGAGCGACGTTGCGCCCCCAACGGGCGCCCGCTTTCCTTCCTACCTTCCTTTTCTCTCCTTCTTTCTCTGTGGTGGCGGCGCCTCAGAGGGGACCGGGTCTCACACGGACCCGTGACGGCTCTGACCCACTGAGCCCCGGGGCCGGTGCGGCGGGCGGGGGAGAGTTCTGTGTGTGGAGGAGGAGGAGGAGGGAGGTTGGTGGTCGTGGTGTCTGGCGGGCGGGAGCCTTGGGGCCTCGCCGCTTCCCTCGGGAGCCTGGGGGCCGGGAGCCGTTCCTCGGGGACGCCCCCCGGGGGCGGCCGGGGCGGTGGGCGCTGGAGCGGTGCGCTGCTCGGGGCCGGGATGAGGGGTAGGCTGGAGCTGTGGGGTGTGCCTGGCTTCTGGGCGGCTGCGTGGGCTTGTAACGGGCGGGATGGCAGATGGGTTGCTGCTGACTCGTTTTGCATCTGATGTGCCCGAAGAGCTGGACGTGCCCTAAGGGAAGGAACATGCCTCGCCGCCCGTCTGCACCTCCCGTCTCTCAGGCGATACGCAGGGGGAAGATCTTGCCCTTGAGCAGGGCACGATGTTAGCTTCCATCCCCTGCTTACTGATCTTACAGCCACGCAGCGTTCTGCTTTTTCACATGATGTCTCTAACTCTGGGTATGAACAGCCTGTAAACTTTCATACAAGTATCTCAGCATCTTTCAAAAAAAGTCGTTAAAACTCTCTGGGTTTGTTTCTTTGTTTTATTTTTGGGTAACTCTTGACAACATTAGGGCTGCTACTGTGTTGAGGCCATGGTGACCATCATGGTGACCATCATTGCCTAATTGATATATGCCTGTAGTTGTTTGTATCTTGGTAGTGCTGTGTCTTTTTGGTAAGGTTGGTTTTGCAATCCCTGGAAAGTAAAACTTTTGCAAGCTGGGAACATCTTTCTGTTACACATTTGTAGACTAAAAGTAGCAAGAGTACTATCCTGATTCATGACTATTGTGACCATACAGTTGACAGAGGTATGTGTCATCCTAATGTAAGGTGACTTCCCAGTATAATTTTTAGCCTTGTTTTCTATTACTCTGTAAGCATTTCGACAAAATTCTTACTCAGCTTTATTTGCAAGTTCTGTTTGTGAAAAGTGAGAAGTACTTTGGATACAAATGAGTTCAGTGTTCTTTGATTTTCCCTTCTGGAAATGGGTGACAGTGTAGCAAAGGGCTGGAGATGATCTCAGGCATCTGGCAAATGCAATTAGCCTTTCAAAGATGTCATCAGCATCCTCCCACATTACTCCTAGAGGTGGATTGGTGTCGGTTTGTCTACCTAGCTGTTTGCAAATAAGAGTTTGTCATGGGTAATTAGAAGCTCTCTGATTTCAGGTCTGTTAGCTGGAATACATGACTGAAGTACTTGCCCTAAAGTAACAGTGTGAGGTAACCCTGCATTCCAGTTTAGTATATTGGTGTCACACTCCTCAAGTTTTAGCAAGTCTTCGGTGTCTTTAACTCAGAATCTTGTCAGGAACAAATCCATTTAATATAGGAGAAGCAATATGGAGAACTTCTAATGCATATGTGTATTTATATTCATTTCAAGATTCATTGTGTCTAAAAAGAGTTAATCTTGATTATTTTTGTCTTTGAACTAACAATGAGATTCTTTACTTTCTCTATGTGTAAAGTCCAGTAACATTGTCTGTGCTTTTCAGGATGATGTATCTAAGGCCATTTCCTTAATCACTAGTGTTTACTTATTACCATAAAACTCAGGAGTTACTGCAGTAATGTGATGGAACTGTTTTTGTGGCACTGTACAATTTGGGTTGTTTGGAGTTTGGTTTTTGTGGGGGTTATTTTTGTTGCCCTGCTTGAACATTTGTCTCAACAAAAAGCTTTTTCAGTAGTTGTATGTTGTAGTTTTTGCAGTGACAGGGCAGCTGTCTGTGCAAATGGATAGTCAAATCAAGAGGTGGGAAGACTCATAGGTTTGTGTTTTTCTGTGGAACCTAAAATGCTTACAGAACTGAATAATTTAGGAAGAGAAAATGCAGCTGATGAAAAATTTAAATAAGGTTCACCTAGAAAGTAATGCTTTGTACAGACTGAGTTTTCTGACAAATAATGATTCAAATATTAGACCTCCTGAATAATCCTGTGTATGAATAACTGTTTGACTCATCTGCACGTAGCTCAATATTACTGAGGCTAAATATGGCCGTTCCTTGGCTAGACGATCAAATACCATGTTTCGCATTTAAAAAGGAAAAATTCCTAAAAGATGCAACAGTATTAGCTATGTCAACAGACAAGGAAAAGAGTGAAAAATTAAGATTCAACAAAAAGTTTGTGGTTCGGTACTTCTTTGTATCTTTGAAGGCTGAAAATGTTTATTAATCACATTTCTAAGAAACAAGACCTACTTATTCTATTATCCAGGAGAAGAAAAGCCTGAGATGCTGATAAGGATTTTTTTTTTTTTTCAGTAGATAGCTATTTTAATAGAAGATCTGCCCTCTGAAAGGACTAGGAGTGTCTTTATTTCAGAAAATGAAAATTCGGAGGTTTTGTCTCTAGTATATTGTGTTTTCTTGATCTATCAAGTGACTTGTGTGGCTTGCAGAGTTGCTTTTATCTAGGCTTTATTGTGTTGTTTGTATCTGATTACAAAATGAAACTCAGTGCAGATCCTAGAGAAATATGCTCTTCATTTAAAGACCAACAATGTTTAACAGTAAAAGTGTTTTTAAAGGTATTTTTGACATGGGTATGTTCTTCTGATGAACCATCCTTTTTTTTTTTTTTTTTCTTATAATTCACACAAAAGTTCAACCGAAAGTTTCTTAAGAAAATTTCTTATCGGTGTAAATGCAGCATTAGACCAGTTAAATTTTTACTTCCTTTGTTGACAGCTGTAATGCTATTAAGGATAAAATTAAGAAAACTACAAAAGAAGGTAGAATAGTCTCCAAGGTTCTTTTGGCTTATGTTCTTTGCCTCTAACACTCTCAGTTGTTTTGCCTTTATTCCTTATTTTCTCAACAGGGCTGTGTTTTCATTTCCTCTGAATCATACTGAAGCATACATCTGTAACTCTGACATCACACTTTTTGTAAGGTAATAACAAGTTATAGACACTTAATGTCACTGTAAACCTGATAAGGTATCCTTGTCTTGAGGTTAAATTGTGCATCTGAGTCACTGAGAGGAAGTAGAGGTCTGCATCTTAGGTGGTTTGAGGGCCACCTAAGAGACCGTGGAGATCCTAGATTGGTATCAGGGTCTCAAGGGCCATAGGGAGTAGGGAGAAGGTGACTGAGAAGGAACTGCCTGTAATCAAAGTAATTTCTTTTACTTTTTCCTGTATTACATTGCGTTACCTGTATTACATTGCAGTCCAGCTTCTCCTTTATCAGGCAGTCTGTGGCAGTAACTTCTCTGGCAGGGTTGATTACAAAGAGTAGTAACAAATGTGTTGTAAATTTGTATGCTCCATTCAGAACTACTCCTTTTGGAGTAGAAAAAGCCAAGAGCTTTTAATTTAAGAAAACCAAGGGTCTAAAGTTTTTTAGTCCAGCAGAATTTTTTATGACCAAGAAAAATACTGAAGTGTTACTAGAATGCTAAGCAATCTTCAGGTAATCTACAAATATCTGGAAAACTGGAAAAAAAATTAAAAATAATTATGCTCAACTAACGGCAACCATAGGTCCTTGTGACAGGAGGTAAGGCAGGGGTTGAGGCCCTTGCCTTACCTGTAATGCAAAGTTAATTGCAGAAACTTTAGGGTGTCTCTATAGCCTATTATCTTGCTGGAAATTCCTTGCTTTGGAAATCAAGGATAAGTAATAGCTGAGTATTTTTGAAATTGCTAAATGTTTTCAATTTGATCAGACATAAGGGTCTCTTTTGGGTACGGTCATTGGCGATTCTGATATTCAAGAATATTAGAGGTCAAGTACTTGGGATATGTTTCCACTTTTGTGTTGAAAGTTACTTGATGAACAGTGGGAGAACCTTGAATCTTTCAGTTTGAGCAGCACTGGAAATGTATGTGAAAATGTGAAGAACTGGAATATAACAAAGTTCATCCCCAACAATTTTGCTGTAATGGTAGCTTTCCCTTTTTAGCTTCGCTATGATTCATTGACTAAATATGTGGCTTCAAATTATGGCCTTATTTAAACT